ATATTAGTATACTCTTACATTGCAGTTTTTGTATTTTTCCTCAGAAATAAGATATTTTCCCGCGGTAAAAAGTATCCTAGGATCGCGCGCTACATCGCCCGGTTTATATAGCTTGAGCAGGCGGTCGAGCGATGCGGGGCAGAGGGGATGGACTCGCCGTAGGCATCTCAATGCTCGCCAAGCATTAAAAATGTTTCGCTACTAATTACTTCTAACAACGATATCTCAAAAACTATTCATCTGATTGATTTAGTGTAAAGAGCAATTTTAATCTGCATTAAATGACTAAGCTAACTAAAATATTCATTTGGATAAGGATTAATACCGAACTAAAGAAAATAACTTTGAAAATAACGTAATGTTTTTAATTAAAAATGTTAACATAAAAGTGGTTATTGTAAGTCAACCGTAAGAGATAGAGATATGCTATCGCGGACTTTTTTGTAGCATTTTTATAGATTTTGAATTCTCTAGTACATTACTTAACTGTATCTTTGCTAGTTTACGCGGCGTTCGCGTGGAAAGTTCCCATTTGGCGAGATTTTTTGCGACCTCTTCAACATTTGTCGCCGTATTTCAGCTAATTTACATAAAAGCATAATAAATTATATACCTAAACCTTCCTCAAGAATTACTCTTTCTATTGTTGAAAACCGTATAAAAATCCGTTCAGTAGTTTTCGAGTTTATCGCGTACAGACAGACAGGAGGACAGACAGGAGGACAGAAAGACGCGGCCGGGGGACTTATTTTTATAATAAGTATAGATAATAATATTGTAAAGAGGTAAAGTTTGTGACGTTATATTGTATTTTTGACGTTGTATTGACTGGGTAATCTCTGGATCTACTGAAGCAATTTAGATAAAATTTGGTAAAAAGATAGTTTGCGATCCTGGGAAGGATATAGGATACTTTTATCCCGGAAATCATCCCTTAAGGGGGTGGAAATGGGTATTAAAATTTGTATGGGGAATCAATCTAGGGACGAACCCGAGTGAAGCGAGGGTGGTCGCTATTTATACTAGATATTGTGAACATTATAAGTAACAACGGTTTATGTTGGTTGATATTTAAATGTCTTCATGATTTCATCTTAAAAAACTAAATACACTTGCGGCCGTTTAGCTTTTATTTATTTTGGGAATCTTACTCATTCTAATATATAGAGTAATAAATATAATTATTTTACTTTTCCTGTTTTATTTTTATGTAGTAATATTAAAAGTGCTTACTCTACTCATGGACTTACATATTGACATTTAATTTAATATGTAAAATTAACGATTCAAAGTGCTTTTAAAGTATTTGAATAAAGTATATTTTAACTTTGATATTCAAAACAAATCATTCACATACACAATCTGTATATTTATTTGCTACACAAGGGCATGATAACATGGAGATGATGATGTCACATAGGTAAATGATGAATGTTAAATACTTACACCATTGATATGAAAATTAAATTTTAATATTACGAAAACGTTGAATTACCAATTCCCATAAGGAGCAGTCGATAAACCAGTTGACATTTAAACCAGATTTCGATTTTTACTTGTAAGTTGTGACCGTCGCGATTCGTAAATATTAAATACATAAATATTGTAGACGAACCTTAACGTGACCCTGGTTCCGAACACGTTTTAAAGTGATAGTTTTATTGTAGAATCAAAGTGAATTAAAATCGGCGAACATTACACTATACTAATATATAGAGCTGAAGAGTTTGTTTAAACGCGCTAATCTGGAACTACTGGCCCGATTTCAAAAATTTTCTTGTATTTTATAGTCTATTTATTGAGGCAGGTTATTGGCTTGGGCAACTTATCTCACGAGAGCGTAGTAATTCTACAAAGTCGTTTAATTTTGTAAAATTATCCCGTTGGAGGTAGGGAGGAGCTTGTTATTTGATACATTATTTAGTTATTACTTCTACCTACTTATAGTGTTAGCAAACAAAGATATGAATCAGCTATCACGCTTCAATATGAATGACAGTAAACCTACCTACTCAATATAAAAAATATTGCAAATCATTTAAGTATCTTTTGTTGAAGTCGGTATAGCTGAACTAAAATAATTTCAATTATTAATTAAAACCTCTTTTCTTGTCAATATTGTTAACAAGATGATTAAATTAATATTAAAAGTATAGGTGGTGGCAACATGTAGCGACATCTATTCGACCTTAAACTACTTCTCGATTGAAGGTTGTTAATACTTTTAAAAGAACGTCACAACCTGCCGTTGTTTTTTTTTACGCCGTCGTATTGTGACATGGTGTATGACTGACTTTCCTACGTCAGAGGTTGTTCAACTACAGCGAATGTTTGTATTGTTGGGAATCCCAACTATACAAAGACTTCTCTGTTTTCAAGTATTTTCCTCGATGCAAGAGTGATGCGGTGCACTTAGTGATGTAATATTTAAAGAACGACTTTGTTTTTTTTTCACTTAAAAACTTAAGTCTGTTTTTTTCTAAAAAAAAATTCAGAAAAAAAATCTATAGGAAATTAAATGTTTTATTGATGTATGTTTTCTAATTTCTTACATTTTATTAAAATTAGAAATCTAATAAAATATAATGAAACGAATAAAAAATTATTCTTCCTCTGTGTCAATGTAAGTACCACTTTCAGTATCAGTGCCACCTACACTAGTCTTGTCCTCGTCAGTGTCGGAATTTTCATATGTAAGCTCAGATAAGTAAAAAAATAATACTTAATATAAAAAATAATATTTTTTTATTCTGTACTCTTGAAAAAAAAACATGTTCCAGCAATAATACTTTCTTAGATTTACGCGAATATTTGACTTTTTAAAAGTTTTTCAACCGACTTCAAAAAGGAGGAGGTTCTCAATTCGACTGTATGTTTTTTTTTTTTTATGTTTGTTACCTCAGAACTCCGTCATTTCTAAACCGATTTGGACAATTTTTGTGTCGTTTGAAAGGGTATACTTCCAGATTGGTCCCATTTAAATTTCAAAAAAAAAATACCACCCCTAAGGGTGGAAAAACTACTAATGATGAATTTAACCTACTTCTAATTGTCATATTGACTTGAAACTTTGCAAGTATTTCTATTTCCGTTGATAGTACAGTGGTTCGGTGTTGTTGACCTGATCTGATGGCAAGGCCAGAAGGTGGATAGGTGGAACTCTTCAACGGCTAATAGTAGATACTTTGAGTTTGGGCTTATTTTGTTTGATTTGACAAGCCTAACACGTTAGAATCCTTACTTTTCTACTACTGTCTACACTAAAAAGGGAAAAATAAAAACTTTTTAACAAAAAAATAAAAACCGACTTCAAACAAAAGCACTAAAAAGTAAAAAATAACTGATTGGTAGTTTTCATTTACTATACATACCAAATCAAATATTTTCGAAGTCGGTGTGCTTTGGCTAAGTAATTAGAGCCTACCTATTAAATACATACCTAATCAAATATTTTCGAAATCGGTGCCAGCCCATACAAAGCAAAGCACACCGACTTCGAAAATATTTGATTAGGTATGTATAATAAATGAAAACTACCAATCAGTTATTTTTTACTTTTTAGTGCTTTTGTTTGAAGTCGGTTTTTATTTTTTTGTTAAAAAGTTTTTTTGGGGAATCAATCCTTTCTCAGTTAAGGGAAATTATTTTTAAAATTTTTAAAGTAGGTACCTACTTTTCTATACATGGGCACATATATGTATGGTCTGTTCTATACTGACCGAGCGAAACAAAGGTGAGTCGCAAATATTACATAATACATATTTAAATTCGTTCAACCACTTTTACAACTTAAACCTTTTTCTCGATATTACTAGGATTTTTTGCGAAGCATTTATTTTTAATTGTCAAACGATCAGAGTAACTGATTACTGAATATTTGTTTAATTTTACATTATTTTCATTAAAACAAAAGTAGGAAATATAATTGTGTACATCGTACATTTCATAGAACATTATCGTTAGTCGTGGCCGTACACATGCCTTTACAAATTGAACAATGCGATTGATTGACACCCAACCTTGACAATGACGTCGCTAGAGCACTGGCCATTGTACGCATTGCTATGACTATCTGCCTTAAATATTCTATGATTTCGAAAACAAGGCATATCTAAAAATTAATATTCAAAAAAGAATAATTCTGCCTTTAACTTGAGACCATATATATAAGTAACTAGCGGCTCACCCTCGCTTCGCTAGGGTTCGCCTCTAAGAAAACAAAAACAAACCTATCCCACGGGAACTGTACATTTTTCCGGGATAAAAAGTAGCCTGTGTTATTCCAGACTATAATCTATCTCTGTGCCTAATTACATCCAGATCCATTCAGCCGTTCTGGCGTGAAAGAGTAACAAACATCCATACTAACAAAGTTTCACATTTATAATATTAATACGGATTAGATTTCTTGCAGATGTGATTATTGCTGAGTAGGCAAGAAACATTTAATTTGTAACTATTTATTATTATAGATTACATATAAATGTTGGATAACAGAATCCGCACGAAATGCACTGTTTCTACAGTGATACCATCTATTTAATTAACAAACCTACACTACGATAATATTAATATACGTACAAACATACATACTCTTAAAATTGAGTGAATTTTTAAATTAACTAATTTGTTACCAATATAAGCTGTACTACACTAAACTTAGAAAAAAACGAGGTGCATGAGAGAAAAAATAGGTTTTCTTTCTTTCTCATGCGCCTGGTATCATCTAATTATTCAATTTTATTAAATCATAATGTATAGATATATCATTGTTTATTATTCAGATATAAATGAGCAATATAAATATAATAAACAGTAAATATTTACTATATAATAGTGATTGAAGTAAACAAAGAAACTGTTATCAAATTTAGTAAAAATCCTACCATCATAATAAAACGTACAAACATACCTAAAAATAACAATGTGCACTCTTCATTACATCTATTGTTGTTTAATTTAATGCATTTAAACTAAAAATAATGTAAAAATATGTCCAGTTTTCAGTATTCCTGCTGCTGATATTCATCGCGGAACTGGCGGTCGGCATCGCGGGCTACGTGAAGCACACGGACCTGGAGACCTCCATCGTCCGCACTCTGAACGAGTCCATCACTCGCTACCCGACGGACCCTGATATTAAGAAGAACTATAATATCATCCAGACCGATGTAAGTTGTTGGTTTTGATTGATTAATATATCATGAGAGAGAGAGAGAGAGAGAGAATTTATGGGGGGATTTGAAAGTGTTACCTCTGGGTATTTCAAATGTAGGGGCCCGTAATATTATTTACAGATATGTGCGCCAATTGTGTTTTTTTTAATATTTTTTGGGTTATTAGGTTTGTAATTATTTTTTAAGGGATTGCAAGAAAAAAAGCACTACAAAAAGGTGGAAAATTTTAAAGTCGATGTTTTTTTTTTTAATTAATAATTATTTATATTACAATGTAAACTTTATGGTGGTTAAAGTCAAAACAGTTGTCTACAGATTATAACAGCCTTTTTTTTCTTTCCACGAATTTTTGGTCATATTATTCTCATTACATATAAATTAAATTACATTTAAGTAATTGTAAAACATTTGAAAGACCACATTCCAACAATTTTAAGAGTTTTTGCATACTCAAAATTGAATTTATTTACATAAATAAATATAATCTAAAATAGGTAAGTACAAATTAAATAACATTTGTTAATAATAATCTCATGTTTGCTACAATGGTGACCTGCTCTTTCTAAACCGCAGGTCGTAAGATCATCTGGCATTATTATTGTAAATATTTACTAGGAATGTGTTAAGTAAATATAGTAAAAATTGTATAATATTATGGCGATAAAAAAAAAATTAAGTGCCTACATCTATTTTTCGAACGAAAGCAAAAACAGATTGCACAGCAATATTGTCGACCGGCCTTGACAACTTCATATAAAAGTAACAAATTTAAACGCGTTATGTATTTTAATTTTTATTCTCAACCGTGATTTTGCTGAATCAGACATAAACGTATTTGCTTTAATAACACACGACGATAAAAAGGAAAATATTTATATGAACATTTGTAAGCTACCGCACGAACAAAAGCAAGTAGAAAGGTAAAAAATAGACATATACAAGTACATAATACTTATGTATGAATTCACTTCGAAAGCATAAAATGCTAAAAATTTATATAACAACAATAAAATCAAAAAAAATAACCAATTTTTTCCATTCGTCTTACGTTAAAAGATTTTCCTACTAAAAATATTTGTGAAACATATTAAACTTCTTTAACAATGACCTTGCTTTCTCAATTCTAATATTTAATTAGGTTATCGTCCGCGAAGGTCAAATTTCTTGACACGTCACACCATTCTAGTCATTTGTCAAATGGCTAGAATTGTTAGGGTACTTGTTTGTACACAGTACACTCTCGCCGAAGTGTTCTCAGCATGTCTCGGTAAGGTATTGCGAGAGTGCGATCATTTACACTTATGGTTATTTAGTTGTCGGTCGCACACCTAGAAAATGGACTACTAGATATTATGGCAGTTTATATCCTACACCAGCTATACTCAACCTGCGGCCCGGGGCCCGCATGCGGCAGCATCAAAAATGGCATTATAACATATCTTTGTTAAAAAAGTAACTACATCGTTAACTTGGAATTACGTTTTCATTAAGACCTAAATAATTTTTGCTTACGGCCCTCACCATGACTGAAACGTGTTTGTGGCCCCTATAAAAATAAGGTTGAGTATGGCTGCCCTACACTGTATATCTTCTCGGTCATCTGTCGACGAGTGGATGTTCTGAGTGAATAAAATGGACTGTGCGTTTGATTATAGTTCTTTGTAATTTCCTTTATTGTAATTAATTAATACATAGTATGCACGCATATCATACAATAAATTAAAATTATATTCACTTTCGTTATTCCATTGTAAAATCCTTGACCATAGGTGACTAAAGAACCAATCTTACATCGCGACGGCAAGAGTGTAGCCGCTATTAAACTTAAAAGTACTAGTAGTCTAGATCTTCTAACCGACGTATTTGTTGATTTGCGATTCCCTGTCTCTCCCGTGACCATGATTGTTGTAAAGCATTCGAAACGTCGGGAACTAAAAATCAAAATAAATCCGTAAATATAGTTTTCTTGAAAGGCAACCTGTTAAACATTTTTTTTAAACTTTAATGATCATTGACAATATTAATATAATGTAAAACTGGATATGTTTTATGTTTAGCACTTATTTTTGAGAGTTTGATCTCGGCCGACGCGTCACATTAAACAAACTTTAATCTCTTACGGGCCCTCAACGTTTCTGACATGTGTCCTCACTCAAGCCTTCCAAATGACCGGGTTCCTTCGAGTCCTTGAAATATGAAGAGGTGCAAACATAATCAATACTAATATTATAAAGAGGTAAAATTTGTGAGTTTGTGACGTTGTAGGGGGTAATTTCTGGATTTGGATTTAGATGACATTTTGTAAGAAGATAGTTTGAGACCCGGGGAAGGACATGGGATACTTTTTATCTCGGAAATCACCCCAACAAAAGGGGGTGAAAATGGGGATGAAAGTTTGTATTGAGAAGCTTAGCTTGGGACGAACCCGAGCGAAGCGAGGGTGAGACGCTTGTAATAATAATAAAATAACTTCCAGCTGCAATGCTGCGGCATATACGGCGTGGGCGACTGGGCGGAGCACTCGCTGCCCATCCCGGCCACGTGCTGCGCGGGACAGGAGATATCCGGCAGCCAGCCCGCCGCCTGCACAGCCGCCTCGCCCAGCCTCCACGCGCAGGGCTGTCTGCCCCTCATCCTGGCCAGGATGAAGGATGTTGCCCTGGTGCTGGGCGGCGTTGGGCTCGGCATTGCTTTTGTGCAGGTGAGCTGATTGATAGGTTAACCATGATGATGATGTTCTCCTGACCGATTCCGGCCACGGCGGCCAATCTCATTGAGACTAGCCAACTGCGCAGGAGATATTATAGTGCACAAGTGTACGCGCAGACACAAGTGCACTCTCTATTCCTGTCACTCTCATACTCTGGTGGGACGACTGCTCGACACGACCAGTGAGAGTAAAGGCGCAGGACCGACGGCTTTACGTGCTCTCCGAGGCACGGGGGTGAAACACCGCCAACTTCCCAACTCCGGGCTATTACTGAGGCTTACTATACAGAAAGACTCAGTAACTAAACTTGGCCCGAACCGGGACTCGAACCCAGGACCTCCGGGTGTGCAGCCGTACATGCTAGCCACTACACCACCCAGGCAGTGGTTAACCATACTAATATTATAACGGTGAAAGTGTTTTGTTTGTTTGTTTTTCTTTCACGTTGAAACAGTGACGGATAGGTGTTATTTTCTGTGTGGATATAGTTGAAGGGCTGGAGAGTGACTTACGTTACTTTGTATTACGGGAGAACACGTTATAATACAGCCCAGAACACATCATCATACATATGTATATATAGGTATATTAGGGTGGGCAAAAAAATGTTTTAATTTTTTTCTTTTCTTACCATTAAAATGTCGTCCAAGATGATGAAAAAAAAATGATTCATCGTGATTTTTGATTTTCCATATAAATAACAAGGGGTTTTTTTTGAAATTTTAATGCGCTCTAATGAATGATTGTCTAGTCAAATTAAAAACATATCCTTGTTAATTAAACGATCTAAAAAAAAAGATCTGATATGATTTTTTTTGCTTAGTCGATTAGTTTAAAAGTTATGCGAGGTTAAAGTTCAACCTCAAATGGTAAATTATGACTTTTATAATTTTCCTTACTCCATCACAAAATAATGGCTCAAAAACAGATTTTTTTTCTTTATCTTGTACGATATTTTTATGGTGAGTAAAGAAAAAAGAACATTTATTTTGGCCCACCCTAATATATATATAGTCTATCTATGCCATACAAGTATTTATTTGAAAGTGACAATTGATAATACAAAATCATAATATTTGAAAATAAAATTAAGCTTAAACCTAAAAACAATTTAAAAAAACATTTTATATATTTAATTAAAATCTTTATTTCTAAACATTCACAGCTCCTGGGTGTGGTATTCGCGTGCTGCCTGGCGCGCTCCATCCGCAGTCAGTACGAGACCGTGTAATCGTCGGCAAGTGAGGATCCCGTAGACGCATCATTAATAAACGCGGTGTAACATACTTTAATCTTAACCATTTCCCTGTCCCATGAGTCATATATGAACATTTCGATTGTTTAACTGTTGTGTCTATTTTGCGGATAGTTGTTAATGTGACAAAATATTACATGTTTTAAACCCTTTTTATATTTAAATTATATAGAAAAGACTAGAACGGACAAATGCCTTAATATTAAATTCACTACTTATGGATACCTTCTATTCATATTATTTTTTTCATAGTGTTCATATTTATGTGATTTGTAATTTCATTTATTCCTCGTTTATTAATAAAGCCAATAATTTAATTTATATATACACATACAAGTTGTGAATTTAAGTGCAAATGAAATATCACTTTAATTATTTTTTTATTATTTGTTTATTTTAATGGATAATATAATAATTTAATTATTTTTGTATATTTTTATGAACTCATATCCATCATATGTAAGGTCAGTTGGATAGAAATAGCACGAACGTGCTCCGTGAAAGACTGATTTTTTCAAATAGTATCGGTGAAAATGCCAAATTGTTCTTATCATATGCACTATCTATATACTTTAAAGTTTTAATCGATTTTAGAATTTAGAAATTATATTCGAATATCGTCTAAGTAGAAGTGCACGTGACTATTTGTTCTAAATGATGCAATTTGTAAAGGACATAATATATACCTTTATTAACGTTGCATCATAACAAATGAATGTGAATTATCAAATATTTCAAAGTGTTTCTTAGTATTTATATTGATAAATAAATCTGTATATGGTGGAATTCGTGTTTTATTTGACCTTAAGTCAGATCACATAATACTATACTAGTACAGATATCTCATCCCACAAAGAAATTGGAGTTTTATTTCGGGCTATTTTTCTTTACAAGAATAGATAATAGATGTCGTTGAACCGCAAATAATTGAACTGTTTTATTTTATATAATACGTGGAAACTTAGCATATGACCTATACGTCTCTAATTCGTTCATGGACCTATATTGTAAAATTCATTCTGCATTCGATTAAACAAATTATAGTGATAAGGCAGTGGTAGCCCAGTGGTAACGCGCTCGCTTGAGAAACCGAGTGAAGCGGGTTCAAATCCCGGGTCTCGCACCTCTGATATTTTCATGTGCGAATCATTTCTAACATGATTACCACTTGCCTTACGGTGAAGGAAAACATCGTGAGGAAACCTGCATGTCTGAGAGAACTTAGCAAGTTTTCTAAAGACATGTGAAGTCCGCCAACCCGCACTTGGCCAGCGTGGTGGACTATGGCCTGATTCCCCTCGTACTGAAGGGAGGCCCGTGCCCAGCAGTGGGACGATAAAAAGGGCTGAATACACGGTAATGTTACATACAGTATTCCATCTTCATACAAAAGGTCGGAAATCGAGTTATACCTACGCGCGTCGCGTTCGGTATACACTCGGTAGACAACCGTGCGGGGCTGCCACATCGTATAATTTGATACGAAGATTTTATAAGATGGTTATGTTATGTAACTTTTATAATTGGTCACAAAAATAAACATTTTATTCCTTCCGTAAATTCGCTATTATGTCAAACAAAAAAGTATCGAGACATCGTATGTTTTAAAAATAAAAACAGATTAATTAAAATAAAAATTAAAGTATTAAAGTTTTTATCCGAATGCGGATTCTTTCTAATATTAAATTTAACAATAAAGCTTTTCTTATGTCTCAGTCGAGGTGCAAATATTTTTAAATGTCAAATTTATAAGGGTCACATACGACCCTTATAAATTTGAGATTTTTAATTAAATCTACTAATAATATTTTTTAAATAAAATATATAATATTTAAATTAAAAAACTAGAAAGAAACCAGGCGCGGATCCTGAGTTAAATTTTTGGGGGTCATAGGCTAAAATATACATATAATAAAACAGTAACTTAGCAAAATCTGTATATGAAATATTTTTTTAAAAACCTTTGTGACCAGGCGCGGATGTAGATTTCAGTTTTGAGGGGTTGGGTCAAAAAATCAAGGCCTTAACTTTTATAGTTTAATTATAAAAATATATTAAGCAGGTATATACGGAACAAAAACCCGTAAAACGCCCCCGCAGTCCAGCTTCCCCCGAGAAATGGGGGGATGTAAAACGTTGAAATATTCTTTTCAATTTCATTTGATTATTATATATTATTAAAAATCGTTTTGTTTTGGAAATAGTCGAAAACTTTGAGGTTATTATAAAAGTCGTAGATTTTTACTAGACCTACAACTTTTGTAAAGAATATTTTTCCATAGGATGTCACAGCTAGGCAGAAATTAAAAAAAAACTATTTTTAAACTTTTTGCTATACTTGTCTTGTTTGCTATAAACATCTTAAAAACATAAAACTTCAGGTTTTATTTTTTTGTGTAGCACATCGCGATCGGACTATTTGTATAGCGCTATTTAAATTAAAGAAAAACTTAATAACGAATAAAAACTTAATTTGTTTCGAATTAGGCATTTAAAAAAAATTACATTATGCCTTCTTTTCTTAGACTTAAAATTCACAAAATGGGGGGTCATGACCCCCCACCCTGGATCCGCGCTTGAAAGAAATTCAAGTAGGTAGATGAAATTAAAATACTGGCCGGCGGGCACTCGGACAGCCCTGTCGCGTGCGTACGTGCCGCTCGGCTGTAGGTAATTATTTCAAGGACAGGCCCGAGTTGGAATACTGTATGCATTACATTACCGTGATACATGTAACGGTCATCTATTGACATTTATTTGAACGAATTTGTCTTTATGATGGGAACCCATTTTAATTCCATTAAAGAAACTATTTTTAATTAAGAAAGCATTCATAGGCAAAAAAAAATTAACAATACCATAAAAATGAGGACAGGAAACTCCACTGCACTCCAAAAACAGAGTACAAATAAAATAAAACACCACTTACGTGTCTAGTTACACACATTTTATTTTCCTATTTTATACCATGATATAAATTTTAACAAAGGATGATTATAAGGGTTCAGTTTATGAACAAGTAGTATCGAGGAACATCAGTCGCGTTTTCTGCCTGCAAGCATCGAGTCACAGTATAAAATAATTTAAAAACATCACATCCATATATAAACCGAGTCTCCGTCCGTCCGTCGCGACGCGCACACCGACACGCGACATACACTTCGCTATTACGCGGCTAATTACTATTATATGATTAAGACATACATTATACATTACCACAGGAGAACTAACAGTTTGTTACAAAACGCTCACTCCGAGTTTCAGATACAAAGCCATAAAAACAGTAGGGTTGCCATTCCACATTAATAAGCACCGTTAAAGAAACAAAACTTCATACAACCGCTAAAAGATAGTTACACTACCATATAAGCCGATGGAGTGTGGCAACTCATGAATACACACGCTGTCGGTTGACAAAACCGTTTTTTCCGGCTCCAACTGTTGACAATGTCGTGCTGAGCGCATCACTTCACCTTTGACATTTAAATTTTAATAATGTTAAATGACGATTCAAATGTGCTTGTAAGTTTATTTAAATAAAGTATATTTTTATTTGATCATATAGTGGCGTAGTACCTATCATTGCAAGGTTATATGAAAGCTTGCCTCTGGTGCGATATTTACTCATTTTAGACAACCGATCGAAAGAGATAGAAGAACGCGATAGAAAGAGAAGGAATATTGTTTGTGAATACTAGGGCTTTTATGTAGCTAATCATTTTAATACTTTCGTTAATAGAATATTTTGTAGCAAACCATTACATATCCCGTGACATTACCTAAACAATAAAATAACTTACTCCACTAAACGTTAATTCTAAACGGAATATTTTAGTAAGACGAGTCGTAAAGTCGGAACGGTAGCGTGCCTTTGAGGCTTGGCACAGCTCATAGAACGCGAAACACCAACGGACCCAGACTTCAATGCAAATTGATATGTCACTTTTATAAGAACGAAAACTTTTCATATTAGAGATGGACGATTATATTTTTATAATAAAACTCTTTCAATGGATATGAGATAGCCCTTGTAAAATAGAACAGACAAACGGTAAATCAAACTTTAGCTCCAAACATCCATCCCATTGACAATATTATTTCCTTATATTATTATAATTTAAAACTTTTAAGATATAAAAACCAACTATTCAGTTCTAATCGTCCACCTCTAAGAAGCCTTTGAATTGAGAAATATTGTCAAGTCACTTGATAGTAAGGCAAATACAATCAAATGTATCAAAAGATCAAAAAAAAAATAATAATTAAATAGTTGTTCATTAAATAAATAAGTTCATAGTTCATACATACAATAATAGATGACAGCCCTACAACGAACTCTGCATACGTACCACTTTTACATATAACATTATACACCATACAGTGATTGCACTCTTAAAACGTAATGAAATTCGATACTTTTGAATTTAATAACTTTTACTATCTAAACATTGGACCGAAATACATACAAAAAATTAACTAAATCACAATCAACAAGTCAAAATTTTAATAAAACAAAAGAGCATATATCATCAACTGGGCATGATTCTAAACAGACTGGCTTCATTGTTGCTTTTTGGCGTATCCCAATATCCATTCGGACGTTGTTATGCAAAATAGAAATTAACGTGATAGAAAAAGAAGGAACATTCCTGGCGAATATAGTAATAGGGCTCTTTTGTTAATAAAACTCTTACAATGAAGATGAGATAGCCCTCGTAAAATACAATAGATAAACAGTAAATCAAACTTTAGTTCCAACATCCATCCCATTGACAATATTATTCCTTATACGAAAACTTACTTTTGAGAAAATAAGGTGTTTTAGTAAAATTAGAAGGATATCAAAATTATAAGACTTACATAGTTCTTTTTTTTTGAAATTCCTCTTAAATATTATGTATTTTATCTTCTTTCTGTACATAAGTTGATATGTAGGTGCCATTTATGATGAAACTCTAAAAAACGGTTTTCGTGGGCTAGATCCATTTTGCATAACACCGTCCAATCTATCTATACTTTTCCTTACTCGAGATAGATATTTGACATAAGCTCCGCACAAATTCTGTCAAACTCCTATCTATTGTAACGAGAACATAGATAGATATGTAATTGGATTTACTAAAAGATAAAAATATATAATTTGTTCTTACATAAGGATTGGCAACAGCTTACATTTACAATATTACCCTTTTGATAGTTTTCTTAGATCCTTGATCCTTAGCACTAAAGAACGGTCAAAAAAATCTTATTCATTTTTATCTTGCAAGAAAATCTTTATTGATTTAAATCTACAATATTTTATTTTATCTTAAGAGAGGAATACTGCTTTTTATTATAAAAATTATTTAACTACACTATGTGATTAAAATTATATCTGATCGAAATGCATGATGCACTGCGGTTAATTTTCAAAGACATTACAATTTTTCATACCCAGCCAAAATATATACATATACGCTCTCATATCCAACGGTTTTCCGACTAAGTCCTACACATCGATTAGTATTTAGTATATACATACATATATATTATATAAAAAATAATTGCATTCGCAGTTTCCATTGATAAGTACCGAGACGGTTCTGGAACAAACGACTAGACCTTTTGTAACTGACCTATTGTACTCAATTATTAAGAATTAAATATTTATTTATACATTTTATTTAAATAAAATATAATATACAGTGTACGAAATAAACCAAAAAGGCAAGGTATCAATCAATAAGGCCTCATTTCCACACCCCGAATACCTAGTGAAAAAATTATATCATATGATTTGATATTTTCTTTTCATATTCTGTAAGACTGTGTGCCTGATAAAATAATAATATATTTACGAGAAAAAAAAACTAAAATAAATACTACTTGTGAAACGCCAAACTTTGGTCTAATTGGGATTTTCGTTCAAAATGAGACATTTTCAGTATAATTTCAACTTTTTCTATATATAGCACTGTAATTTTTAAATATATTGTGTAGTAACATAAAAACATTAAAATTAAATAAAAAACAAAACTGCTTCTTTTATTCTAGACGAAATGTTAGAACAGTTAGTAAGTAGTATTTTTTGTATTTATTGTATTTTTCTCGTTATTCAGTGGTGAAAATAGAGATCTCATCGATACCCTACCTTTCCAGTAGTAGAGTAATAAGAAGACATTACAATCAAAAATATTTAAATTATTCTCTTTGAAAGTACACATGAAAAAAAAGAAACAAATACCCCATTCCACATAAGTAATATGAATTATAGTTATAAAATAATTGTATTAGCATATTATAATATGTACATTCAAAGAGACTTGGTACAAAATGGAGACAATTGATTGGCAGTCGCAGTTAAATCTTATAATTAACCATCATCACATACTGGTACGATACAGATCATTATTACACACTATTTGAACCAGAGCTCGGAACCGTTTTAAAAAAACGATTTTTTTCAGTAAAGGTTAATTCATCGCTCGTTCTTTAACCGGATAATGAATACGAACGGTTTAGTAAAACGAAATAATAATCGTTAACGGTTATTCTTAGGTTCGATTTTGGTTTTGAGACCGAAATGAACCGGTTAATTCATTATTAAGTAAGAAATGTAAACGCACGAAAACTCATTTTATTTAATTTTGGTCATGAAACCTAAATTCTTCAAAAACCGGAAATAACCGGTTAAAGAACGTAAACAAAGCCTTAAGCTGAAAAGACTAGGTTTGGGGTCAATGACCAAAACCGGTTTAAATAGTTTGAACGGGTTTCCAAGCCCCGACTTGAACAATAAAATATTTAAAGTAAAAACACTAAACAGAAAAAATTGTATTATCAAAGAACAAAAAAATCTGTTATCAGAAAAAGCCACTGGGTTCCATGCGCTGGATTCTTACACAAAATAAACAATTGAATTTCCTTCATCCTTTCTATAAATCATATGAAGTTTTGATGTACAATTAGCAATTACATTTCTAGATGACATATACATTTCTGATGTTTCAAAAAATATAAATACGTGTCAAATTGAGAACCTCCTCCTTATTTTTCGTCGGTTAAAAATAGCTAACAGGTAATATGTCTACAGATAGAAAGAAATACAGTATATTTTTGTTGATGGAATTCAAACAAACATAAAATGAAAAGAAAATCTTTACCTTTTGTAATAACAAACTTGTCTTTATTGTTCCGAGTGTGCAATATCAATCACTTCTCCGAATGACTAACTTCAATTAAATACATATGCTTATTAGGATAAATGAGTATATCATTTCTTCATCGTTTTAAAATTTATTAAATGGACATACATACATATGCATTTCTTTATTTACATTATCATTAATTAATCATAAAAATAAATTGTTATATTGGAGTAATAAACTTACAAATAAGCAGACAGTACATACAATCAAAATATTATATATCTACGAAACCGCACAGATAGAAGAAACACTTAAATAGTACACACGGCCTTATTGACAAAAGAGAGTACCGACAGTCACTAAGCCGTAGTTAAAGCCTAGATTTAATTAAACCGCCGTAAGTTTATTAATAGGGCCGATGAGATCGTCACATTGTAGTGGCATACGTTTAAGTCTACATATTATTGTGTAACCTATGTGTATACACAGATTAATGGATAACTAAAACTCGTCACCTAAAATAATACAGTCGTACCGTTCAAGCGTTAACATAACTCACATTAAACGCAACTAAATTCAAAAGCCATTTTACATGTGTGCACTTCAATACTTTTTTGTAACTAACAAATAGATGAAAAAAAAGGGACAATAATGGAGACAACTGATCAAAATAAAGTTTTAATCAAACCAACCATCCAAATTCCGCCTAACACTATAGTAACTTAGCACTCAGAGCCAAGGCACTATAACATTACACCTCAGTCAAAAAAAACCCCTCTATAAATCTAACAAAATAGCAACATTAAACAAAATATTAGGTCACTATACAATTAGATCAAGGTCAGATGTCAAAATCAAAAACTAAAAAAAAAATACCGCCAGTATTTAAAGTGCACACACGCAAACTGCCTGTCACTCTGACACGTTAGCTCACAAGAACGGGGTGCGGGGTGGCGGGGTGCGGGCGGGGGGCGAGGGCGATCATGTCGCGTAGCGCTTGGTCCAGAGGCGCGCGATACGATCATGCTCCTCGCGGTTCTGCAGATACTGTGTCGCGATGCTCCCTACCAGGGGGTCAGCTGGAATCATGAAATTGAATGCATTTATTATATTGTAAATAAAAACTTTTTAAACAAGTGATAAATTTAAAAATTTAAAAGACCTCCGACCATCTTGGACAGATTTCCATCAAACATAGTTAAGAACACTCCCGACTAGTTCACCTTTCAAACAAAAAAAAAACACAATCAAAATCGGTTCATCCGTTCAGGAGCTACGATGCCAAAGACAGACAGACACATACACACAAACAGACACGTTACACTTATAACACCCCGTCGTTTTTGCGTCGAGGGTTAAAAATAGTAATAAGCAGCTAATTTGTAAGAAAATTTTTGTATTATAACATATTTAATTAAGACATTTAAAAATAATTCATTGTTGATTTTTTAAAAACCGCTCGACCGATTTCGGTAAAATTTAAATGGGACCCTTTGAAACAAAAAGAATTTTCCAAACCAGTTCAGATGTCTTCAAGTAATCGGTGAACATAAATAAAAAAATGACGAATCGAGAACCACCTCCTTTGTGGAAGTCGGTTAATAAGATAATGTTCGGTGATTTGTTCTTTTTTCACACAGCAACAAATTAATAGATCGACATGAATAAAGGCTAAGAGATAGTTTGGGGACCAGAGTACCATCTACAGATTAAGTTCATTTATCTCAATTCCAGTACATACTCCCCTTTTGTAGTATTTTGCATTTAATTAGTCTGTTGCATTAATTTGCTAGCAACTTTTTTTTTCTTTTTTTGGTTAATTTCAACCAAATCTCTTAACAAGATTTATTATTGCTTACTTGATGTCATTTGGACATTTAAGATCATGTACATATTATGTATGTAAGTAACAAAATAAAATCATTTGACATTTTTATAGATTTGACCATGAGGAAATAATAACCTGAAGTTTTTTTAAGAGGTTCAAAATTCAAAATATTTTATTCAGCATTAAATTATTACAATTTTTTACTGAACGTCATGAGTCTACTACCAGTTCGGAAAGAAGAAGCCTCAGACCTGAGAAGAACTGGCGAAAGAAACTCAGCACGATTGAGAGATTAGATTAAAAAACTTTAAAACCAGTGTGTGAAACCTAGGTGTTAAACCTAGTCTTAAACCATCTCATTATGTATATAAGTTAGGATACTGAAATATTGTCACCTATCACAATAATTGAATTTTGTTATAAATTTAATCTGTTTGTTATGTTATTATTATTTAATTCATAAATGTTATTTAATTCAAGCTAAGTTATGAATGTGTGGCTTTTTTTTATAAATTGGTATTTCATATGCAACTAATGGAATAACAATTTTGTTTTAATACATTATTATATAAAAGAAACAGACTAAACACATTGCAGTCTTATTGTTCAAAAAGTTCAGTTATCTTTTAGAGAAAACATTAATCAATATAAATAAAATGTAAGTGTTTATTTGTTATGTCATATCACTATTCATTTTTCCAAGTATTAAAGTATAAAGTAGCTTATCATACATCAGAGATTAGGTTTTGGGGTCGGCGAAAGTTATTAAGATGGCAGTCAATGTGTAAATTACAATAAAAATAATTAATTATTAACATAGTAGGTAACATAATTTGGTGGATTACTGATTGGAAGAATTGAATTAGGCAATATTTGCATGAATTTGCCATGAACAAAGTTTCAATAGTATAATTATATTTTTTACATAGAACAAGACTGTACTTAGACTTGCATACATACATCTCTTCATCGAGGCCCTAATTACTCCTAAATTCTTCAGCAATTATTTGCAATACACTAAAATTAATTTAGACAAACATGTTGAACTTAAACGGGACTTTCACTGATGTTTAGATGAGAATGTATAATCTTGATAGAATGTATTATTTTATATTTTCAATTATATACAATAACTCAAGATAATAATTAATAATATTCTTTAATATTAGTAATGTACACCTGAAGAGTAGGCCATGTATGTTTACTGTTGTGAAATATACAAAATATTTAACAAGTTATATACATAGTGTGTGCTCTCATAAAAGCAGAGGCCATATTATATCAGGCTGTGGACTAGACGGAATATTAAATGTGAATAAGATAATCAACATAAAGCCTGTCAGCCAGATACTGAATTTTAATGGTAGAAAAACTATATAAAGTATTTACTGAAACACCATTAATATTTGTGCAAATCCACAGGCAGAAGTTAGTATATAAAAATGGCTAAAATTAGTATAGCAACTATTCAATCTCAGTTTGTAACTTTGTCTTGTATTTCAAAGAAAATGTGATCCCATATTACAAACTATGTTCTTAATATTATAATTCCATACAAAATTTCAGCATAATATCAACACTAGCAGAACCTGTAGCTTAGCTGGTGCTAAAATTACAAAAAAACTCTAAAATGTAGGTTTCGTACATAAGTTCAACCCCTATTTTACCATCTTATGGGATAAATTTCAAAAAAAAGCTAAACCACATATTTATTTAATTGTATTGAAGAGCCTTAATACCAAGTTTCAAGTAATTCTGATCATAATTTTTTTTTTGGGTTGTATTATAACGTGTTTTCCCATGGTAATGAGATAATTTCTGTGGTAAAAAGTAGCTTACGTCACTCTCCAGCCATCTACTCTATGTCCACACAAAAAAATCACGACAATTCATTACTCTGTTTTGACATGAAAGAACGACAAACTTTCACATTTATAATATTAGTATGGAAGTTTGGATTCATATAAAAAAATGTATTGCCCTATCCGGAGAAACAATTATGATTGATAGGGCTTCTTGAAATTAAACCAATATAGAATTATTCATTTTAAAACACATACAGATACTATAATTTTTTTAAAGTAAAAGAAATGTATGTTTGTTTACATTAATATTCTTGTTGTATGGAAAAGAACATAGTACTAAAAGTACAGAACAAATAATAAATAAACTACATAGAAAAATAACAAAATTTACTATACACTAACACTTACCTGGATTACAATCAGTCAAAAGTGAGCATATGGATAGGAGTACTTTTGATATAGTCAATGCAGGTGACCAATTATCCTTTAGAATATCAAGACATATCACACCTTGGCTGTTGATATTACAGTGGTATATCCTAGTTCGGAATGTAACCTAAAAAAATCAATACAATATTATTATATTTATATATAAAAACTAACGAATCACCCTCACTTTGCTCAGGTTCGTCCCTAGCTTGATTCCCAATACTAACTTTCATCCCAATTTTTACGCCCTTAAGGGATGATTTCCGGGTTAAAAAGTATCCTATGTCCTTTCCGGGATCTCAAACTATATTCTTACCAAATTTCATCTAAATCGGTTCAGTAAATCCAGAGATTACTCCCTACAACGTCATAAACTCACAATCTTACCAACTAATTTCAATAATAATGCTTAATTTGAAGCATGTACTAGTAACACACAGGGATTAAGTGCAAAGGCAATCGAGGAGTGAGGTTCCTAATAATAATCCAAAGGAAATAAGAGTTATTTTGACTTTACTTTTTTTTGGTTACCAAATTTATGAAATTTATGGCAGAAATATTTCATGAATTTCATACGATAAAGGATTTTTGAACATCTATAAGTTTTTCAGGCAGCCCCAGGCCCAATTGCCCTCCCTAAAATCCAGTTCTGCTTAAATGAGTATTTTTTATGGTAATATATTTTGTCATATTTTTATATTTCCTTCAAAAATAGAATCTAAGTTGTATGGGACTTTAGGAACTTGCAACAAATATATCATTAAGATAATACTAAAAATATTATAATATATATACTTTTTTGCTCACCTTAGGTGGTTTGAAAGGGTACTCTGCAGAAAAATGTATATCTAAGAAGAAAACTCCACCTTCATACACTGAACCTGGTGGGCCAAGAATTGTGGACACCCATTCATAGAGGTTATCGCCTTTTGGTCCAGCACTGCAATTTGGTGGTGGGTCAAGTGTGATTTCCGCCAATTCCTTTTGAATTCTCTTAGCTGAAGTGCCAAGTGCCTTAGACATTTTTGGATTGGGCTTATTTTCTTTAGATTCCGGTTTGTTCTCAACTGCTCCGCTGCTACTGCTGCCTCGACCACGTCCTGTTCCACTTCCTGATGAACCAGATGCACCAGACATTATCTAAAATCATCAAAACTAATTCTTCTAAACAAAACAGCAATTATTGATAAGCCCAACCAAGCCTGTGAATGACTATGTTATATAAGACATGAAGTGTAAGTTTTGATGCATTACTATAAACTACAAAAACATTACTAAAATAAATGAATAAAAAGCCAAAATAATTGTTCATAAGTTGCAAAAGTAAAATATTACTTTATCGCAAATACAAAAACACTATTTTTTTATCAAAACAAAATATTACTAAAACTAAAAAAATCTAAATATTGCTGATTTTATGAAACGTAAACAAGTTAATAATTCATTACATAAAAAATACTTATCTATCTATATCTATCTATTTTACAAGAATTATAGTAATAATATAGTAATAAATTACACTGAAAATATTCGGCAATTTTATTTGATTGACAACATATAAAATAAATCATCATACAGTGAAACATCATGATATGTTTAGAACAAAGACATTCCTGCACGTTGTGTTTAACTAATGTAATAATAACAAACATTTAAATAAAGACCATGTATTCTTGCGAAAACGAGCAAACTATAATAAAATAATCACTTGAACAGATATTTTTAGAGAAAAAAGAATATTTGTACCTTACGAATAACAGTCGGCCATCTTGTGGGCTGGCGTTATCCGATAATTTACAATTTTTTTTGGCCAACCACGGTGATAATTCTAATAAATAAATGTATCCCAAAACACAATCAATAGAACACAAAGAAATTGTTCCAGAATATGTATAATTTGTGTTATGATATTAAGTGAAACTCCGTGTTAGATGCTCCGAACTGCAAAGCGCAAATAAGCTGCCTGTTACTTTCCCATGGGAATGACTAAAGAATTATTTTTTAATGTCTTCAAAAGATATTGGATAAGCTTTAGTATACCTTACTGAAACTAAAACTTGAATTCTGTTGTTTTCGTAAAAGATGTCAGAGCTTCAATCCTCTTCTACCACATTTCGTCCATTTGTACATCACCCTTACCAGCACAACTGAAAGTCACCAACGCACACACGTTTGAAACAAAAACAAGATATCGAATCAGCAAAACTTTAAATGATGATCAACAATTAACTAGAATTACCTTTCGTATAATAACTTAAAGGAACAATAATTGTACTTATTTAATATATTTATACAATAAAGTCATAGAATATTTCATAACTTCACAAAGCAGTAAGCACAACCACTTTCCGACATGTTTATTAAAAAACCGGTAAGTTGCCATGTAAAAATTAAAAATACTACCATCAATAAAATATTTGTAATTTTTTCTTTTTTAAAAAATATTAAGTCTTTTTGTTTAGTTAAGTTTATTTGTTTTTTTTTTTTTTAATTCTAAAACCATTTCCTTACTTTATTTAAAATATTGTATTTTTTAATTAATAATTATTTCATAAGCAGTCTGTCAGTACAGGTTATATATTAAAAAAAATTGTCTATGATAGGGATGTTCATGTAAAAAATCGATATTTTTTCAATATAATATATCGTATCATTGTATCGATACTTTGCAAAATATCATACAAATTTATCGATATTTACGATATATCGTAAGTTGTAAGTCATTTAGTCTTTAATATTAAATATTAGACTGGGATCAGGTTAATATGAGTAAAACCAGTTAGTGAATAAACAAAACATTTTATTTATTTAATCCCAATACTTTTTCTCTAGACCTTGCAAAAACAAAATTTTATTAACTATTTTGGTTTGCAATCTGTTTCTCCGCTGAGTTAAAATAGCTATTTTTATATATCATTATACACACTAACTGTATTTAAATTTCATAAACTGTATTAAACAAAATAGACAAGTTTTATTTATACTTTATAGGTTATTTTGTAATTTGTACTGAGAAATGAGAACGATGAAAGAAGCGGATGTCGGAACTCTGATTTCGGAAGTGAGTGAGACTCTCGAGGCGCAGACACACTACGAGTTACGACTACAGTCACAGATTATAAAATTTTTACTACTACTAGTCTGCCTTCACGGAGAGTAGGAGAATAGATTTTTCGTGACTTTGCGTTCCGTTATTGGGAAGGCTAGTTTTTCAATAATTCGGGGATTTACGTTTTATTTTTAATCAAGTTGCGATCCATAAATAAAGGAATCAATATATTAAAAATAAAAGAAATGAAATGTTCCTTTATCCTCTCACGATATTTGATATATCGTTTGAAATATATGGATATGTAATATCGATACTAGATGATTCGACAATATCGGGTTGAAGCGATATATCGCGTACATACATCGATGTTTTATGATATATCGATATATATTGTGCACTCCTAGACCCTAGTCTATGATATTTACAATACTGTCATGAAAACGTCAAAAAATTTCAATTTTTGTACATAAATATCATAGAGTATATTGCTACATATATAAATAAATATATTATTTACATTGTAAACCAAGTTTGTTAGTTGAAAATAAATAGCAGCATTTTAATCAAAATATTATAATTTATAGAAATAATATAAATCCTAAAACCTTGCAAAATGGGGAAACGACAGCATCAAAAAGATAAAATGTTAATATCCTCTAAAAATATTTTTTGTAATTTTATTAATGTCATCAATCAAAGCATTTATATAAATTAGAGCATGTTTTCAACACAGTTGATATTTCAATACACTATATATAGGCCTTTGCGTCTATTACAGACGATTTATGGTGCAATGTTGCAGAAGCACTGCCTCTGGTGGTAAAGTAAACACTAAATTTTTTATTCTATGTATATTTTTTCAGGTACCTTACATATACAGAATGGACTACGTTATATGGTGGTAAGAGGTCTGGCACTGCAGTAGAAGAAGACACCTCTTTTCGAAGACTTCCATATGATCATTGTTGCATGTGTCTCCAACCATTTGAAGATCCTTATTGTGATAATGATGGAAACATATTTGAGTTGCAAGCTATTATTGATTTTGTAAAAAAGTTTAAAGTTAATCCTGTTACTGGCAAAGTAAGCAAGCTGCCATTTAAAAGAAAGTAAAAAAAAAATAGTTTTTCTAAAGAATATTTTATATAATCTTAATTTATTTCCAGAAACTAGACATAAAAAGCCTCACTAAGTTGAACTTTTTTAAAAATTCACAAGATGATTATCATTGCCCTGTTTTGTTTAAACCCTTTACAAAAAACTCCCATATTGTTGCCATACAGACAAGTGGTAATGTTTATTGTTATGAAGCAGTGGAACAGCTCAATATTAAAGGAAAGAATTGGAAGGACCTCATAAATGATACACCATTTGTTAGATCTGATATTATCACAATACAAGATCCTAATAATTTGGGAAAATTCAACATATCTACTTTTCATCATGTCAAAAATAATTTACGAGTTGAAACAGAAGGTAATTGTCATACCATGGAGTATATATTATTGTTATTTTATGACTTTTTAAATTTATTATTGAGTACTAGAATGGTTAAATCTTTATAATAAATGTTAAATAATTGTGTTAAACACAAAATTTTGTACTGCAATATTTTAATCATAAATTATTTTTTATATTTTAGAGGAAATAGCATTGAGAAAAGACCCACATGCTAGATTAAAAACTGTATCAGCTGAAACTAAAGATATTTTAGAAGAATTGGAAAAAGAATATAAAGCACCAGAAGTAAAAGAAGTTAAGAAAGAGGTAAATTCATTAGCATATTGTTAGATTATTTTATTTATTTTTGATTACTTATTTTTATTTACTAAGGTATTTATAATTTCACTTATATTTTTGATTTATTCATAAGTTATAATGGTTAAAAAAGGTTTATAATAATATTTATCTAAATTGAAACAATTGTAAGATTATTTATATATTAGAGAAATTATTTTAATTTTTTTATAGGTTGCAGACAAGTTCAATGCAGCTCATTACTCAACTGGTAAAGTAGCGGCTAGTTTTACATCAACAGCATTGGCTCCTGAAACTATACATGAAGCTGCTATTGTTTCTGAAGATGATGTTAAATATGAACGGGTCAAGAAAAAAGGTGATAAATAATAATTGATTGTAGTAATCTATACACATAAATAAAATTGAAGTGTCTGTTTGTAATGTGAAAATAATAGCTTTTTACTAAATGCATATGAAATTATATAGGATATACACTGCAACCTCCATATAACAAATCGAAAGGGAACAAGTAAATATTCGTTGTATCAAGTAATTCGTTAAATTGAGGTTTGTTATGTTCAGTTAAGTTGGTCTAAAATTTGTTATAAAAAGGTAAAAAATAGTTTTATTCACCTCAACTTTAGGTAGGTATTGTACTCATCTTGTTATAGCGAACAACTTCTACTAATAAATGATAACACCTTTTTATCAAATTACTGTATTTACTTTCTATTTCCAAACAATTAGGTAGGTAAGAAAATTTTTCCCATAAGAAATCAAAATTAAATGCAGTAAAATCCGTAAAAGTAGGTACATATCTAGGCGGGTACATACATTATGTAGATAATTTAATGTTAATTTCGGGCAATTTAAGGTTAATGGGAACGTTACATAAAGGTTTTAGGTTGACAAAATTTGTTATTTAGAGGTATTTTCATTTCTTGATATGTAGTTGAAAATTCGTTATAAAGAGCTTATTCGCAAAAAATGTTCACAATATAAAGGTATATTTTACATTGACTCTTATGGACAATTCAAGGGGATTACGAAGAATTTGTTAAATCGAGGAAGTCGTTATAATGAGGTACGTTATATAAAGGTTGCACTGTATATACATAATTCTTAAAATGTTTGTCTCTGTTTGTTCCGGCTATTCTCTGAAACTGCTGGACTGATTTTGATGGGACTTCACTGGCAGATAGCTGATGTTATTAGGAGTAACTTTGGCTACTGTTGTAGAAAAATAATTAAGCTTCTGCTCAAAAAAATTTAAAAAGTACCTAGAGACACACCCAAGCAAAACGAAGATAAGTTGTTAGTATTATTCTGAAATCATAAATTAGTACTTTTATTTAGTATTTTGTAATATCGAAGATAACCTTATAATATGACCTCTCTTTTCTAGGCTATGTTAGGCTGGTTACAAACTTTGGTCAGTTAAATTTTGAGTTATACTGCGATTTGACACCTAAAACATGTGACAACTTTATAAAACATTGCCTCAGTGGGTACTATAATGGTACTAAGTTTCATAGATCTATCAGGAACTTTATGGTAAGTAAAGTTAAAAGTAACCAGTAATGGTTCTTTTGTATAAAAATTTATGATTAACTCTGAAAGAGAAAATTTAAGGAATTTGTTTTCAAGAAGTTTGCAGTACTTGCAAACACATTTTTTTACTACTTGCTGTTATTTTATTATTCTTGCTCTTTTTACTGTTGTTTTTAGTAATTATGTAAAATTTAACACTGAAGCACCATATTAGTAGTAGCATTTAAGTCAAATCACAGTGATTTTTGTAATGCTACATTATATTACATAGTCTTAGTTGTAAATGTTTAATCCCTCCACGACCGCGGACACGCTGGCGTGTCAGTTACAATAGATTTCTTAGAGTTTTAATTAATTTCTTAGAAATTCACCTGGAGGTATTAATAAATAAAATATGATAAATTTACCAGCCATATTAACTACTGATTTGTGTTTCCATTCGTGTTTCCTTTAACATGTAACAGATTCAAGGTGGAGACCCAACTGGGACTGGTCTAGGGGGTGAGTCTATATGGAAAAAGCCATTTGAGGATGAAATCAAACCAAACCTGCACCACACTGGTCGTGGTATTCTATCTATGGCTAACTCTGGACCTAATACAAATGGATCACAATTGTAAGTATTATAATATTCAAAAAATGTATTTCTTAATACCAATCTTATCTCTCCCATGATTACTGCAAAATGAAAGCATTCAAAACGTCCGGAACCAAAAATCAAAATAATATGTGAAAAAATCTGTTATTCTAAAATTAAATTTAAAAACCAAGAATTCAGTAAAATTTGTAAAGTTATTAAAAAAAATTATTATTAATAATAGAACATTTTTAATTTATCATGTAGGTAAAAACAGTCATCAATCAATCAAAAACATTCAATTTTTAAATTGATTTTTTCTTAAGTTTCATAACATTCCGTTCCTGTAAACAATTGGATGGCAAGCACACAATATTTGGGAAAGTAGTTGGTGGTCTTGACACGTTAAATGCTATAGAACATGTTGAAGTTGACAATAAAGACAGGCCAATTGAAGATATTATAATAGAAGTTGCTCAAGTGTTTGTTGATCCATTTGCTGAGGCTGAGGAACAGGTATAACACATTATATTTATGATTTATTATATTGTTCACTGGAAAATAAAAACTAGGGATTACTTTACAACTAGTCTTGTCTATGTCACTGAGTATAGATTGTAAAGTTCATTTCAATTTTCTTAAAGCATGTATTGTAGTGTAAGTTGTGACAACATTTTGCAGATTATTCAAAATTATGAATAAAAATATTTTCATTGTATTTATAATACATAAAAAATTTAGATATCTCACTGATTTCGACCTCAGTGTATTGTTCATAAGTAGGTGTGCAAACCTGTTTGATTTTTAATGCTAATGCATTCACTGCATCTCTTATATGTACATATTTTTTTATATATAATATATAAAACTAAATTTCATTTATTATATATAAAATCAAAGATAATTGAATTAAAATTAATTTGTTTGATTGATTATTACTTTGATAATAACTTTTTTTTTAATATATTACATATGGGATCGTCTATCCTTTAGGATATATTATGTCTATGTATTGGTATGCTTTTATTATAGATTGCTGCTGAAAGAGCTGAGGAGATCAAGAAACAGGCACAATCTGGAGTCAAACCTAAAAAAGCAAACAAACAACCTCTTAAAGTATTTAGAGATGGAGTGGGCAAATACCTTAATTTACAAGAAGTATCCTCAACAAGTAAGGCTGCTAAAGGTCAAGAAGTTCCAACAAAAAAAGCAAAAAAGGATGGGAACTATAATTTTGGCAGTTTTGATGCTTGGTAACTTTAAGAAATTAACAAAATAGTCTGTAAATATTATTTTTTATTAATAAAAAGTTAAAACCAATATTTAACACTATATACTTTATTTCATTCCTTCAATAATTCAGTAAATAATACTAAGAGTAGAACTAACAATAATCTAAAAGATTGTATTATGTTATTTTTAAATAGATAAATGTATTTTTATTTACATAGTGTAATAAGTGAAAAACATGTGATCATTGTAATAAACCATAATGTAACCATATAAGCCATAATTCCTAATTTTATTATTACATTAAAGGGCAATCTACATTCTATACCTACACTTTAAAGTATTTAAGTAATTAAAATTAAATAATACATTTATAAATGACATAAATGGTAGCTTATTTATGTTGAACTATATTAAGAATATACACATAAGCATAATTTCATACTAATACACAAACATAACTCCTAAATTGAATAAATAAAGATATTCAAAAAACAATATTTTTGTATTTTGACAATTTTATACTTAATTAAAGTTTGTACGCCTCCTTGTTGTTCTCTGCTTGTCAAATCTCATTTCCATTTCTTCCAACACTTTTGGTGTATATCGAACTACAAGCTTAACGGATCCTACAGCTTGCTTTAAAAGTTCTACAGCTTTTTCGTGATTCTCGCCTTCTACAGATACACCATTTACAGAAAGTAGCTGATCACCCCTCTTTAATCCTCCATGGCGGTCTGCAACTCCACCAGGTATGATTCTAGATATGTATATGGGAGAATTCTGTTCTTTACCACCCATTACATTAAATCCAAGGCCTTCTTCAGTCTTAGGAAGTTCAACTACTCGAGGGTGAGCGTGGCCTTCTGCCGCAGCGAAGGCAGCCACCGTTGCTTTAGCTGTTGCTGAAGCACGAATATCAGCCGATCCTTGAATATCAACTGTTTCATAAACATGCTCATAAACTTCCCGAACAGCATTTAAAAAATCACTTTGTAACACTTTTTGCAATGCAGCTAATTTTGTAGCTGGAACTTCACCACTTTGTTGTAGTTTTTCCAATAATTCTATCGCCCTTTTTATATCTCTCGCTAGAGTCAATTGTTCCCCTGTATTACTCATGATAGTTACTTAATTTAATTTTAAGTTCTTATCATATAACTGAAACTGGGCGTTCTTAGAACACAAATATTGGAATAATCGATAACAATACACAAGTTTCCCCTCTTTGACTGTCAACTCAGCAAATTGTCAACATGACACGGTTAACTGTGAAGTGTAAACGGTTGGTAATGATCACAAACAATATAGTTGTATTGTCTGTGGTAATCATGGATGACAAAAGTGGTAATGATTAAATGAATAGAAAAAAAATTAAAATATTAAATAACGTCTTGCAACTAGAGGACAGAGGCACAAATTAAAGAACTAGTAAGTAGTAACGAGATAGAGGTATAATCTGGTTGTAGTGTAGTATATTACTATCTTCGAGCAATATATTGCTTGAAGCTTGCTATAATAATATAATCTATGACCATTTCCTTTCCGTTTTATGGTCAGCACACAATACTCCAGGTACCGATCGAATTTCCTCTGCACCTCTTGTTTTTATTACATCGGATTTGGTCTACTACGGATATATTGCACAGACTAAACAGAGATAATATAATTTTTGTGCGTGAGCGTCCATTCCGAAACAGACCAACCCAATGCCAAAAAGAATATAGCCACCTTTATTTTTCATCCATGGTAACCACTACGTTTTACCCAATGTAGCGAACAAACGAAAAGAAGCAGGCCAAATCAGATACGTATTTAATGTAATGATAGATACACACAATGCGTTGACCTAGATAGGTATGCACATGATTGATACATGCAGGCACATGTTCACTACATGGCGAGCCGAGCCACTCCTCGCGAGCTCAGTTTCTTTTTATTCCTAATTTGAAGTATACAATAATTCAATAAATTCAAAAAACAAAGAATCACGTCTTCTCGTCTCATATTTTAATAAATTCTGCGGAAAAAATGGAGTACAGGAAATAGTAATGATGACACTCTTTGGACAGTCGTCACGGGATCTATTATTCACTATTAAAGTCTAGCACATACGAGTCTCAACATACAGATTTTGTCTGTGAAATCTCCTATACGAAAATGTCATATAAAAAATATAATTATCTTAATAATATTATAAATGTAAAAGTTTAGATAGATGTTTGTTACGCCAGAACAGCCAAACGGATCTGGACGAAATTTGGCACAGAAGTAGATTATAGTCTATACTCTATAGGCTTTTTATCCCGGAAAAATATACGGTTCCCGTGGAATAGATTTGTTTTTGTTTTTCTAGAGGCGAACCCGAGCGAAGCGAGTGAGGATGAGCCGCTAGTATTATTTAACTATGTATTGAAATACATACTCATACATATTGATTTATGTAATGTAGTTAATAAGAATTGATTTTACTATTTTTTGGTTCAATATTATATTTTAACAGGTTCAGTATAATTTATATTAATAAACGAAGAAAACTAACTCTTTATCAAAGTTCAATTTATTTAGCAATACATACTTATCACATCCTTTTTATATTATCCAGTATTTTGAAATAAAAAAAATCATTATTCAATCTTTTGAAAGACAAAAAGAGTCAATGACATCATTAATTCGACTAATTCGTGATTGTGACATTTTAACAATTGTGCCAACTTCAAATAATTTGCCTTTGACTTATATTTTCTTGTTTTATTTTTCGTGAATAAAGTATATAATAATAAATAGGTATTTTTTGATAACGTCCTGTGTTATTATAGTATATTCTATTGAGTGAAGTAGAAATATAGACTTTTTAAGTGTTCTGAGACGTTATTATGGATGACTTAGGTAAGTTACTTGTTATCATCATATAACCTGTTTGGTTCACTATGTAATGACGTGTTTTATTTAGAAATGAAATCATTATTTACATTAGCTTTAGGAAAATTACGTACTTTATTCCTAATACTAAAATGCTACCTAAAATTATAATCTTATTTTGTCATAGAAGTTTTACTTACCTCGCAAATGCTATTGTTTTTTAAGTTTTCTGCTCTTAACTATTTAAAAATTGATCTTATTTTAATTGTATAAATAGCTCATAACATTATTTGCGTAAAATAATCTTATAAAATTAATGTAAAAGCTATGATGTTTATAATGATAAGTTTAAGATATTATTATTGTGTCTTGTATACTTAAATTATAATTTTAATTTTATTAAGAATACAATTAATTTGAACTAAATAATTTAATATTTTGAAGATTTAATTCTATTAAAATATTGTAAATACATACTTAAAGAATATAATTAATTATGTTTAAAATTACATTGCAAACAATTAAAATAATTTGGAAAGACCTCTGTGATGGATAAGCAAAAACTTAGCTTATTGTTAAGCTTAAAGCTTGATTACTACTCATTTCTACTAACCTCTATGAAAACACCTTACACTCAGTATAAAGAACTCCAGGAACAAGGTTACTTATTAACAAACTGCATTTTGTATAATTATATAATTATTATATATATATTAAGTATATTATATTTTATATAATAATAAAACAGTATTTGTTTTATTGTTATATAAAATATCACATCATAACCCTTAGCAGATTAATGTAAGGAACTTAGATACTCATTGTAGTGGGTCTCATTATTCATTTTCAATTTTTTTTAAAAGAACCTAGTATTTATTTATTTTCATATATAATGGTAACATTTTTAAAGTTATATTAATAAATAAATACACACTTAATGTCAAATTAAACGCTTCATGCTTGTTGACTTACACAATATCCTAAAAAAATCTAATTTTTCAATTCTTTTCATTGATCATTCAATCTTGATAACATATATTATGTTGAAGGGATATTTTAAAAACTGTAAAATTATAATTTCACCAGAGTTATTATTTTTTTAACTGACAAATAATAATTTTGTATGGTAATCAATGTTGGTTGGTAACAAATTATTAAAAATAAGAATATGTATAAAATTATTGAAAGAATATTAAAATAACTTTGATGAATAAGTAATATAATAATAATCTTGCAAGTTTATATTAAAATTTACAAAACTGTAACTTTGTACATATTTTTTTTTCATAATAATATATTATCTTCCCTTTCTCCAGGCAAAACCCTTTTTTTCTTTGACAAAAAGTACACTAAATAATTATTTTAGACTCTGTAATTTGTGTATCATTTTGTTTCATCATTGATGCAGTACTCTATAAGAAAAGAATTTTAATAAAACTAACTTCCTGGTCGCCGGGGTAATCCGCTGGCCCCGGTACATAAATTACATTATCATAATAATTTGTGTGTAACTGCCTCAGTGGTGTAGTGGCTAGCATGTACGGCTGCACACCCGGAGGTCCTGGGTTCGAGTCCCGGGTCGGGCCAAGTTTAGTTATTGAGTCTTTCTGTATAATAAGACTTAGTAAAAGCCCGGAGTTGGGAAGTTGGCGGTGTTTCACCCCCGTGTTTCGAGAGCACGTAAAGCTGTCGGTCCTGCGCCTTAACTCTCACTGGTCGTGGCGAGCAGTCGTCCCACCGGAGTATGAGAGTGACAGGAATAGAGAGTGCACTTGTGTCTGCGCGTACACTTGTGCACTATAATATCTCCTGCGCAGTTGGCTAGTCTCAATGAGATTGGCTGCCGTGGCCGGAATCGGTCAGGAGAACATCATCAATTTGTATCAAAATAGATGCAATAATTTTTATATACCTCCTTTCTTGTGTTAACCTTTTTATTTTCTGGGTTAAAAAGTACCCTTTGTTGCATGGTATGCAACATAGGGTAATTATACTATTATTGTTCAAAATGTGTTTAAATTCTTTAAAAATTTAAAATTTTATTATATAGTTTTAATGTTTAAATTATTTATGTTTACTCTACCTGTGACATATTTATAGGTGGAAACTTTGCTGGTGTGTGGACTTTTTAGTTTTTTGATTAATTTTAAGAATTTTGTCACTGTTTGTTTCCCAAAAATTAATAAATAAATAAATTAAGTTTTACTACAAAAAATTTACTTTTAATTCAATATTAGTTTTTTTTAAATGGTTCACTTATTTTATGATATTTATACATTTATTTCATTTTATTTGTTCTTAGTGATGGTTCCTAAGGTTTTTCTTCTTAGTGATAATAGATTCATGTGGAAATTACCCTTATTATAATAGTCTAATATTCACTACATAATTTGTTTTCCTGTTATAATTTCTACGTCAATGCGTACCACTAATCATTATTACCTGCTATATCTTGTTATATCGACGTGATTAATGACCACCACTGTCGAAGTCGCTCCACCCATTCGCAATTTCTTAAAAAGCTTTAATGGCCTAAATAAAAGGTCAAATAAACACAGGATGAATCTAATATAGCTTTAGGCAAAGTATTAGAATTAAAAAAATGGGCTATACCATTTACTTTCTATTTAAGATAAACGATGACGCCCGCGTTCAGATGACCAAAAATCAAATTCTTAGGTTTTACATATTAGTAAACTCTTACGTTACAGTTTTTGTATTTTTTCTCAGAAATGAGACATTTTCCTCGTTTATCTAAAAAGTATCCTATATGTTGACCCAGATAATCAGCTATCGCCATACCAAATTTCGTCAAATTCTCTCCAGTGGTTTTTCCGTGATGTGGTAACAGACAGACAGACAGACAGACAGGCAGGCAGATAGGCAGACAGACAAAAATTCTAAAAACTATAGATTCGGCCTCTGTATCGATAATAATGTTTATTTCAATAAGATTTTCCAAAAAATATTTAATGTACAGATTCGGCTTAGTTACAATTTTATTATAAGTATAGATATGGGCAATGCACACGTACATAAACTATTAATAACAGTAACTACCGCTTATAAGTTACTGCTTTAACTGGCCCTTGATGTATAAGTGTTCATATTTAGAAACTATAAGTAATTGTAAAGGACTATTGATCACTTGAACAGAAAATATAATATAGAACACTATTTCCGAGTTAATGTCAGCAAAGTATGTTAATTATTTGTTAAAAGAAAACTGTTTCTTAAAAGCTCTTTTTCTTATTATTTGT